ATATCCAGAAGTTAAAGGGGCTTCTCAGTGCTGAGTTTGAGATGAAGGATTTGGGAGCTGCTCGGAAGATCTTGGGTATGGAGATTTACAGGGACAGGTCGAAGAAGAAGCTTTTCTTGTCACAGAAGAGCTACATCCAGAAGATACTGTCGAGGTTTGGCATGTCTTCAGCAAAGCCCTTAAATACTCCTAGTGCTTCAAATGTTCATCTATCCTCAGCTTATGCACCACAGTCAGAGGCTGATAAGGAGTACATGTCGAGAGTCTTATATGCTAGTGCAGTAGATAGCTTGATGTACGCTATGGTATGCACTAGACCTGATCTTGCACATGCTGTTAGTGTTGTCAGCAGGTTTATGATACAACCTGGGAAGGAGCATTGACAAGCTGTGAAGAGGATCTTCCGGTATCTTAAGGGTACACCTGATGTGGGGATTAGCTTCGGAAGTGATACAGAGTGCTTGGTGTCTGGGTATTCTGACTCGGACTATGCTGGAGAAGTTGACACGAGGAGATCGATGACCGGTTGTATTCACTCTTGGGAGTTCTGTAGTGAGTTGGAAGGCAACTTTGCAGTCGGCGGTGACATTGTCTACTACTGAGGCAGAGTATATGGCGTTGACAAAAGCTGCTAAGGAGGGAATATGGTTGAAGGGACTGGTTGGTGATCTGGGTCTACATCATGATCAGGCATTGGTGTATTGCGACAGTTTGAGTGCAATATGCTTGGCCAAGGATCAAGTCCACCATGAGAGGACTAAGCACATCGATGTGAGGTATCATTTCTTGAGGACAGAGAAGAGGATTAAGGTGAAGAAGGTTGGCACCGCGGATAATCCTGCTGATATGTTCACGAAGCCGGTTCCACATGGCAAGTTCCAACACTGCTTGGACTTGCTGAATGTCTTGAGTGGGTGACTTCGCCCTACGGGGCATTGATGGCGGGAGAGAGAAAAGGAGTAGAGTACATCAGAGATTTCAGAGGAAGAGGATTCAAGTCAAGGTGGAGATTTGTTGATGTGACTTGAATCGGACTATCAGCCGCTACGACTGGTAATCGGGTTCTGGGCCTGGTCTGTAATTGTTTCCTTTGCCATATTGGATTAGGTTTAGACCCACATGGAGAAGTACTATAAATACTTCTCATACTCCTCTGTAATCTGTAATCTCCTCGATATAGTGAAACCGGCTCTCTCTCGCCCGTGGACTAGCTAACACACATCGTGTTAGTGAACCACGTAAATCGTGTGTCTGTGTTTTTCGATTCTCGCTTTCGTTTTCTCTGCTTTGCCGATTCCGGCGATTTCCCGATCCGTAGCAGCGCGTTTATAACAATCCTGTCTGACCCTCAAGGTTTGGGACGGGTTGGGTCAGTGGGTCGACCCTATACATACTGCATTTTTATAAATTACGTTTTTGTACCCAAAATTATTTTTTCTTACAATGTAGTACCTAAAATTTATTTATTTATTTACAAATAAGTCCTTAAATTTTGATGGTATAATTACCTTTTGGTACCCAAAATTTTTAATTTTTGCAATTTAGTACCTAAACTTTTATAACTTTTACAAAGTGATCCAATGTGGCATGAGGTATTTGTTGTTGCTAAGGGTCATAGGGTCAAAAATTGACTCGTCCCTAAGTTGACCCGACCCGTCCAGACCCTTGTAGGGTCAAAATCTGACCCATCCCTAAACTGACCCTATAGACAAACTAACTCGTCTCGACCCTCAAGGACGGGACGGATCGGGAAGAGTCAAGTGGATTTTTAGTGTCAAACATACACCCCTAATAGCAGCGTCAAGCTGATACAGAGCACCCTATTCCCCTATTTGAATATCCCCAGCTTAAACCCTCTTTCCACCAGCCTCTCCATGTTATCCGCCGGCACCCACCTCATCCTCACCTCCTCCTCGTCATCATTGTCGTCGCCGCAGCCGCAGTGATAGAAACCGTAACCCGTCGTCGTCTCACCCCACCTGCTCCAGTTGCCGGCTAGGAGGAGTCAGGTGATATCGTCGCCGAGGGTGCGCCGGGGAATCTTAGGGAGTGGGGGGTTTGGAGATACGGTTTAGGGTGAGGTTTAATTAATTGGGTGTGATAAAATATTGCTAAAACAAATTTAAGGGGTAATTTGATAATTTCCAGGCCATTTAAAGTCGTTTAACAGAAAATTAGACGGAATAGTATATTTATTACGTTTTAATATTAGAGGGGTATGTTTGTGCAAAAATTTAGTAGAAGTATACGTTTGTTAATTTGCGATAGTAGAGGGGTACAAAACCCTTATATAATCTATTCAAATACTACAATAACCATCACATACCCCAAATTGATGAAAATTACAACGCATCCATTTCCTTAATTGCATATATAGTATTATGCATCCATTTCCTTAATTGCTTATATAATCTATTCAAATACTACAATAACCATCACATACCCCAAATTGATGAAAATTACAACGCATCCATTTCCTTAATTGCATATATAGTATTATGCATGTATAGAAATTGGATTAGAGGTGATAATTTGATATGACAAAGTGATGTACGGTAGTAGGCCAGTAGCCAGTGGCGGAGGGAGAGGATAACAGGTGGGTCCCGGGACTCACCCTGGCTCGGGGGAAAATGGTAAATTAGGTACGATAATTAATTGATATCGAAAATTAAGTCGCGTTTAATTGAGAATAGTTGGTCGAAAAGTTTTGTGTTTGAATCTTGGCGACCTCATTTCTTAAGCATACGGTATACAGATTTGTGCAAACATCAATTTCGTATAAGTTGACTTTATTATAAGGGAGCATGGTAATAAATGGTATAATATATTATTGAAATCTTCCAACAACTCGATTTATTGATACTAAATATTTTTTTAAGAACATCATTCGAAAGCGAACGACTAGGTAAATCATGAATTATTGGTTGGTATAAGATTTATTATTAAACCTTTATCAACAACTCGAGGTATTGATACTAACGGTTCTCAACAAAGAACACCATTTGAGACACTGCGACTAACTAAATCAATGATTGTTTGGTATATATGCAGAGTGATATTCTTGATATTTTCGACTGATAATGCATTTTAATTATCAAAAATTTTCAACGTAAGATTATATTAAAAAACTATTTTATCATATTTATTTTTCTCGATGTGGAGTGTGGACCCACCTTAAACGAAATCCTTAGTAGCACAACTAACCATGATTTGCCACACACAATAATCCAACCCACATAACACAACACCCCGTTTACTACTCCTCCACGGCCAGACACATTGAACTTATTATCATCCCAAGACATGCATGCCTGGATTATTAACCAATAGAGATAAATATGTGCACACTATTTGCTTGCCTAATATTTCCATTTTCTACAAGGGGATGAGATTGAGGAGCTAGGACCATATGATATGGCAGATAACACTGTTGTCAATTGGGACTTGAGAGAGAGAGAGAGGGGTCCGGTAAGTGGTCCATTTTCTCAAAATCAAAATAGGACCAACAAATATCCCATAATCCATGTGCAATAAATTCACTTGTTTTCCCAAGTTTTGAAACCTCGCAACAGAACCCATCTTGTCCCTCGTCAATCCGATTATGATGCTTACTGTATGCTTTCAGCATATGTTCACGAAAACTGGTATCGTCGAATTGAGTACTCAGTGTTCGTGACAGTTAGATAAATACGGTGAAAACTTATTTACCTCATTAATTCAACCGTCAAAATACATTTATACCCCGATTCGATGGCTCACAACGTTTGTAAGCACATACTCATAGATTGTGTTGTGAGCACAAAACCCGAATTGGCCCACCACACCCACTGCTCCCTGCATGTGTGCCCACTCGACTCCATCCAGTAATAGACCTAATGGATGGTGAAAGCAACCAATCATAATCATGGTAGCCACAAGCAAAATGCAATATATATATATGTTGCCTGCAACATCATGAATCCCTTCCACATACATATTTAATTAGTTTTCTTTTCTTATACATCGGCCTGTATAGGGGTGTGTTTCCCTTTAGGTGAAAACCATGGTGGTGGAAGGGACGATGGATAGGTTTCGTGCCCACCATTATCAAGAACCTATTCGCAGATCAAGAACACACCCATATGGGTCTCTCCTGTTCAATATTGCAGAAGATCGATCATTGATCTCAGTTGCACGTGTGCACTCTAGTAGAGGTGTTTGTTCCCACCGTTACTACATGATAATATTAAACACTAGCCATTATCTCGATGGTAAATATGGATTGGTGATTACCTATGAAGTAAATGCGATGGTTATTATGCTAACAATGCGTACAAGCAAACGTGGTTTGAAATTTGGATGTACGTGACAAGGGTTTGGTGTCAATGCAATAACCACAAACTAATGGTACCAATATATACGAACAAGGGTTTGGTCTAATGGTAATATCACTATCGTTGAATCTGGAGGTTCCATGTTCGAATTATTTAAGTAGTACATAAACCATAAAGAAGTAAACCTATATCACCCATATCGAAAATAAAAATAAAAAAAACTAATGGCACCAACATATAAACCCAATGACCAAAATCCAAAGGTGATCTGATTCCTTACTTACAGACTTGCAGCTAGGGCTGCCAATTTGGTTTTGGTTTAGTAAACCAACCATTAAGTATTGAAAATCAAACATCAAATCAGACAAATTTCACAAAACTAAAACCAAAACCATTAAGAGATTATCATTTTTCATTAATCGATGACGGATAAACCAAAAATCAAACCCATCATTTGAGAAGTTAAAACATGGAGTCATCAGAAAACACAACATGAAGCATGAAGATAAGAAAGAAAAGTATATTACTACACATAAGTTTGTGACAATACATGTTGATGATCGACATTGACTAAGTTAGCTAGGGTATTACTAGTTTCTGATTGATTTGTTATTAGTTTTCGATTTTAACCAAAACCAATATCTTTAGATTATAAAACGGTTTAAAACAATTAAAACAAACCCATTAACCTTCTTATCGGTTGTTTTTGGCTAAAATCAAACCAAACTGACCGCCCTACTTAAAGATATGTCACCATGACCGAATTGATCAAACATTTCTTTGTACTAGAAAAGACAACCCTCGGCCTCGCTCACCACACAACAAACCCAACTTTTGCTCACGATTACGTTACGTGTGAAGCCATATGAACGAACCTCCTTAGGGAACAAACTCCCCAATTGGTGGGCAATCGAAGGGGCATAACTGAAGAAGGGCTTCCCCTAATTCAGCTTCACGACAGAGCTTTTTGCAACACTTGAATGCAGGCTTTACTTCGCACGAAGCTTCCCGTCTCCTCCATCCTCCTGCCTGCGCAACCATTTCCAGAAAGAAAGAAAAAACCTTTCGATACTCTTTCCATCTCCGAGCTCTTTTCTGACATCGACAGGCCAAAAGGATTCCCAAGAAACAGGGCAGGCCCACCACTCCAAACCCAATTTCACCAGGCCACATACTAACTGGACCATGGATGGCCCGCTCCAAATTTTGGCTCTACTACTCCACTTCCCCCCTTGTTCAATAATTTCCCCATACCATTTCCAGGAACAAGGAATCTGCAGCCAACCAGACCAGATCAATCTTCACCAAATGACCAGAACCTCAATATATTCACTTCGCTCATCAATACCTCGTTGGAGACTTTGACATGTGATCTGCTGCTCTGATTCGTCGTAACGAGTCCAAAGAGACCTGTAAGTCCACAACAAAGAATTCTCAAAGTGAGCACTCTATGGCTTCGTTAGATTGCAAAATAAATTGAAATTTAGGACACAATTCAAGTCCTCCAACCATTGCAATATCAATTGAACATCCTAAAGGAAAGAGAACAATGATGCAAAACCAGACACATCATAACACACCAGAGAGCACAGAAAAGGCTTAAGCCAAACACAGAGGACCAAGTCACAGGTTGGCCTAAATATTCACAGAGATGAGAGGATGGTTAGTCACTATCAAATCTTTGGTTCTCACCCCCCAAAAGTGATGATAGTTTCAGCAGAACTGCCATGCAAGCAAAGGACTAAAAAGCCTAGCACAATAAGTCACAAGAAGATGTTTTCCCCTTTCATGCCACTAACTCTTATGAAATAAGATATAACCCTGTAAGAAAAGTATACCACACAGAATCTTGGTCAAAAATATTTAACCCCACATGACAGCAGTGCCCCTGCCTGCCCCAACTGCATTAATTGCTGTAAACGTAAAATTGTTATCTTCAACCAGTGGTCCTTTACTTTCCTCATATGTATACAACATCAGATGCCAATGTCAAGCCCATTTAAAGGGCCTAACGTGCCCCCAGAGGTGGTCCACTTGTGACCCTCTTAACGCTAATAACGTTAGCGAGTACTTGAATGAACAGCTTGCACTGAACTTCACAAGTCACAAGCAAAACTAAGATAGTCGCATTCAGGTTCTGCATCGGAGTTATGAGCTAAAGGGCAGCAAATGGGTCTTGTTTTCTCATTGGCTGCAACTTGCTTGAAAATCTAGAGCCAGATCAGATGGTATCTGTGATACTTTTCATACAGGGTTAACTCATTTCATAAGAGTTAGTGACATAGATCAGATGGTACTTAGAGAGGGTGATAAGAGGCAGCTAAAAAACAAAAAGAGTCGACCAGAGAGAAAGAGGGTACAATGGAACAGGAAGACCCAGAAACTAGATGGCTAATATCATCGACAGGGTAAATTTTTGGAAAGATATGCATATGTACGATGCCAAACATTGTTCAAACTAGGCGCAAATCACCTGTAGGCCATAACCCACACAAAAGTTACCATAAGGCCACGAGGGAGTCTAATAAGAAACAAGGGTTATCATTGCATATGCAGTATACTGAGATTACAAACATGATGGGTCATGTTCAGCGATTACTGAAGCTCTCATAATCGATTTCTGGTATACATAGATAAAAGGGTTATAGGTATAATATGCCCCTCTACTATGTCGTTTTATCAAACATGCCCTTCTATTATTTTTTACATCAAACATGCCCCTGTACTTTGGAAAAATTATCAAGCATACCCTTTTGTTAAAATTTTCATCCGAAAAACCATTAACCACGGTCGAACTTTGGTTTGGGAGACACAAATGTAAAAAATATCCTTAATAATTCCACTTCAGAATTTTTTGGGTTCTTTTTATAGCCAAATAATTCTAATAATTTCACTTCAACGAGACCCAGAAAAATAAAACAGGGGACAAAAAGTGATATTTCACCTCCCATTTGCCGATGTCGGGTTCTGTAGATCTTGGTTCAACCATGATTGACGATTTTTCAATGAAAATTTTAACACAAGGGCATGTTTGATAATTTTTCCAAAGTATAGGGGCATGTTCGATGTAAAAAATAGTAGAGGGGCATGTTTGATAAAACGACATAGTAGAGGGGCATTTTTGATATAACCCTAGATAAAAATACAAACGAAAAACTCATTCAGGGACATGTAACAAAGTTGATTCGATATCACAGACAAAAAATATGAGAGACTACTACGAGAAGTTATGAACAAAAATAAAAGCCTAGAGATGTTCCATGGAAACTAAGTAAACCTGGAGCAACGATCATAATATCCCACCAAGCAAAGAAGCGATCTTTGTTACCTATTCAAAGATCTGAGATTCATTCACCGCTATTGCTCTTTGGATTCCTCTGATGAAGCTGAAAGATAGCATCATGAGAAACCGGTAGCCTAGAAACCTGTTCAGAAACTGTAACGAGTAATCCTGAAGATATTCTGAACTTCTATCATAATAGCCATATGAGAGTAACGAGTCAGGGTATCCAGACATATAGAAAGCACATGTGTTTCCTCCAGATGAAAAAATATTAATGTCCAAAACAAATCACCAACTTCTTTACCAGATTAACAGCTGGGACAAGATGACAAACTTAAGACGAACCGTTATCAATTACTAATCAGCAACATTTCAAGAGCTGTCTGAACAGCTCAAGAGCACAACTGGAACAAGCCAGCTGCAATACTAATGAATGGTCTCATGGGACCTAAGCCCAACAGGTATGATCCATAGCCACAGAAGAAAATATAAGTAACCTTTACAAGGAGCACGCAAAAGTTCAGTCATGAGATGATTCCTTACTCTGCAGAAGTTGCAGGTGCAAAGTTGATTCCAACTAGGCGCTAATCCCCTAAAACCCACACAAACGTTACCATAAAGCCACGAGGGAGTGTAAGAAGAAACAAAGGTTATCATTGGATATGCAGTATACTGAGATTACAAACATGATGGGCCATGTTCAACGATTACTGAAGCTCTCACAATTCAATTCTGGTATGCACAGATACAAATACAAACGGATAAACTCATTCAGGGGCATGTGACAACGTTGATTCAATATCACAGGGACATGTGACAACGTTGATTCAATATCACAGACTATAGAGAGCAAGAAGTTATAAACACAAATAAAAGCTAGAGATAATCAATGGCAACTAAGCAAACATTGAGCGAACATTCTCATATCCCACGGAGCAAAGGAGATTTTTTTTCACCTATTCAAAAATCAGGGGTGCAATCAGCGCTACTGCTCGTTGGATTCCTCTGCTCAAGCTGAAAGATGGCGTCATGGGAAACCAGCATCCTAGAAAGTTGTTCAGAAACTGTAAGTAGTAATCCTGAAGATATTCTGAACTTTTATTACCAAAGCCATATGAGTAACTAGTCAGGGTACTCAATGGATATAGAAAGCATATGTATGTTACCTCCAGATGAGAAAACAAATATATCCAGAACAAATCACCTTCAACTTCTTTATCAAAATAACAACTGGGACAAGATGACAAACTTAAGACGAACTGTTATCAATTACTAATCAGCAACATTTCAAGAGCTGTCTGAACAGCTCAAGAGCACACTGAAACTAGCCAGATGCAATGCTAATGAATAGTATCATGGGACTTAAGCCTACCAGGTTATAATCCACAACCACAGAGTAAAAGTAAAGTCATGAGATGATTCCTTAATCTGGCAGAATTTGCAGCTGCAAAGTCGATTCCAATAACATTGAAAACTTAAGACACACTTGTGTGGTTCTCAAATGATTGATCGATCTGTTGTTCTAAGGCACACGCTCCTTAAAACGGATAGATGCTACTAGGTGAGAAAATCACAATTCAATCTAAATACAAGTTTGAGCAAACAATCCAATCATGCTTTGGCTGTTACCACTTACCACAACGTTCTTTCCAGCAACTAAGTTAGCAACCCACTGTAAGGAATTTGAGCATTCAACCCTCTCAACTTGTTGAATAAACCTTCCAACTTATCCAACACTTTTGCGCATGAACAGAAAGTGCAGACAGCTGGTGCCATGCATACAATAAAGAAGGGCTTATAAAAGTTCTCAAGTATTTGCAAAAACTTCTCAAAATCAGGCAATAGGAAGATATAGTGAATGCAACTTTGGTTTGAAGATATTTTTTTCTCAGCAGTCAGAGTCAGAATGAATTTTCTAAAGGAAGGCATTTGATTCTGAGGATCGAGTTTATCCCTGCAGCAGGTGTTCCAAGCCATGTTATACAAAGATTTGATTGCATATGAATGACACTAGGAAAGTCAACATATAGGGTTCTCGTACGCATGTTTCTTCATTCTCGGTCTGTGACTTTATATGAGATGGACTAGTACTTCTGATCCTAAAAGCAAAATAGGTTTCGTTCAAGAAACAGGTCAAGTCTATGGATCAGCCTGTATCAGTACCCTAATGTGATCACTGCAACAAATTAACCCTTTCCTACAGCCACAGTGAAAGAAAAACTGGGATGTAAGATTGTCCATTCTATATCACACTCATATGCAGCAGCACAGAGCAGTGATCCTACTAAATTGAACCACAGTTTCACCATCAGCAAACAGCTCTCTAGAATCATTCAACTTGGTTCCTAAAACAACTCAGCTAACCTATGCCTAAACCAGCAGTTGGCATTCCAGACCTGAAGTGCATGTGAAACTTAAACATTTTGAAGACCTTAGGCTGCAGCCCACTAACAACTGCACACTATAGCACCAGCAAAGAACATTAGCACGCCCTAATCATTACCAGCTACGCACCCGGCGTGTTACGCATATAGTTGATACTCGTCATAATTGATAGAGAAAGACATAGGCATATTATGAAACTCAATGAATTCAATGGGTAACTAATATTAATATCTTGATGAAAAGCTTCGAAATGTATACAGGAAAAGAAAAACCTCCCTTTCTAAGCCAGAAAGTCACATCTCTACAAATGAAATCAACTGGCACCAACAGGATTTTTTATGACGGCAACAGCTCTAACCCATATAAGACATTGGCGTACTTCTCCATAGCTCCATCCTCCCAATCGTTGAAGTACTTCTCCCTCATTTTCTGAAATGCATGGAGTGTAGCCAAACTATCCGAGCCGGCTTGGTGACTCTTCCCAGTGACCCTCTCCACACCCAAAGTCTTACACGTCCTGTCCAGACCTCCAAACAAATTCGCCACAAACCTCATCAGATGCTTAATGTCATAGACCTTATCGCCGAAGAACATCCTCACTATGTCCAGAAACTCGGTTAACCTGTCCGGCAATGGACGCTGGGTCAAACACTTGACCAAGTAGCCGAAATCGTAAGCGCTGTGGAAAGTGACCCAACTGACCGAGTCGTTCAAGACCAGGCCCGAAGACATCATCAGCTCGGCGAATTTCACTGCCTCGATACCGTCCTTGGTGTTCTTCTCAAAGTCGATCCCTTGCCTCCTCAAGAGATCGACGGAGTCGTGAGCGTGCGAGTCGCGCGTCACGTCGAAATCCCTAAAATTGAATTCCCAAATAAAGCAAGTAGTCCCGGTGCCGAGATCCGGCAGATTGCCGTCACGATCAGCGATCGTGAGCCCTACCTGGATCAGTTTGAGCATGTCGACGTTGGCCTTGAGGCTCAAGTAGCGCCCCGTCGGATCCTGAAGCCGGTTCCCTTGCTCCTCCCCCTGCGGCCGCATCACCACGCCGGGGAACTCCGTGTCCATCGAAATCAGCGGGTAATCGTCGACGACGGCGCGGATCAGAGCAAACTCCGACTCCAGATTGTCGGCCCACACCGATCGGATCGCGACCGGCCGGGGAGACGAAGCCAGGACCGGTCTCGGTGGAGGAGGAAGAGGCGGCGGTGGCGAGGACAGGGATTCGTCATCGGCGACGTCGGACATGATTTAGAGACGTAGGAGAGGATCGGCGCTAAAATACAACGCATCCAAATCCGGATGATGGACGGCCGACTGGTTCGAGATTTTTTTTCTTTTTCTTCTTCCTTTGGGGTTTTTCCGGCCAGGGAAGGGAAAACTGAGAGAGGCGGAGAGCGGAGGAGGAGGAGGAGGAGGTTGGAAGGGCGCGGTGGGCGGGGACTTTTATAGTCAAAGAGAAACGGCAAAGGGGGAAGAAGAAGGAAGGGCAACAAACGTGGGGTTCTTCGTCCATAGGGCGGTTCCATTGGGCAACTTTTTAGTTTTTTTTTTTTTTTTCCCCTTCTCCCTTTCTTTTCCCTATTGGAATTAATTAATTACATTATAGTTTCCTAAACAGGAATTCAGTGTTCTTAAACGGAATTCCAATAAACTTCAGAGATTAAATCGTGTATTTTACAAGAGATAGGGATAATTGTAGCATAACGTCTTAACTCTTCACAAATGGCATTTTTAGTCCTTGTACTGTGTAAATTTTGCCCATACGTTTTTGTATATATGGAATTTTAACCAGATAAAAAATCGTCTCCACCAACTAAGATCTGATTAGTATAGTTTCACCTTTAAAAACATTAGTAGACCATTGGTTAGTCCATTGGTCCGATCTAATTTAATTTTATTTGTTACAAAGTTGTCTACTAATTCAGTCCATTGGTCTGATCAAGTAAGTAAGTAAGTTAAAGTAAAGAAGACCTAGAAATTTCTCGATTTGATGCATGAACGTGAGTCCAAAATGACCGGCTTCTGCTTCTTCTTTTTTTTTTTGTGTATTAAAAGCTGTGAACCGTAGTGATATTCCATTTTAGTGTAGGTAGAAGCCAAGAACATTGGGTTCTCTTATCCATATTTATGCTATTTTTCAGAATAATTAGATATATTAACGAGTGGGTAGAGGCGTAGAGCTATTGTTAATATAATATATTAATTTTTAAAATATGGTCGAAATGGGGTAGTGAGGAAAATATTGTCACTACTTAAATCGGATGCCATGACAACTATCATAGACTAATACAAACGTGGAGTGGAATAAGTACGGGAAATCAGGGGGAGCCTCGCAGTATACAGCTACTGTTTGATATTTGAGTCCGATTAGTTGGTGTATAGAAATTTGTTTTTTAACATAATTTGGTTTGTGTCTCACCGAAATAGTTTTCACATTAAAATGAATATTATTGTGTGGATCACATAGAATCTGAATTTTTGGTTGTTTGGCACATAATATATAAATTTGGAGTTGGACCGAAATAATTACTGATAGATAAGAAGTAGGGGATATAGAAGATGCCCTTCCTGACGCAATACGGATCTTCAAGAAGATGCCCTTCCAGCCGTCTTCTCCCGCCAAGCACATCCTGTCGTGCTCTGACGGAGGAAGGAGAAGAACAACGTAAAGGCAGGCAATAACGGAGGGGAAGATAACGAGAGCGAGGAGCAATTTGGATTCTCGAAAGAGATCAAGAGCAGGTTCGAGGTTGGGGAAGAAGAGGGGGGGGGGGAAATTTGGGTATGCTTGTTCCGGTCAGGAAGGGTGATCGTTTAGGATTTTCATTTGAGGGGTCGGTTCATGGGTTGGGTTGACAAGATGATGTGGCGGGTTATTGTGATGTGGCGGGTCGAGTTTGACAATTTCCGGATTAAATACGGCTGACTAGACGATTATGTCCGCCACTTCAGCACGTAACAGCCTCTGTTAACGAAGATGGACGACGACGAATGAAGAGTGACCAAACATGAACGTTTTTAATAAAACCAGTAACCACTAACGAAATTAAATATTTCGAGTGATTAAACATAAACATTTTTAGTAAACTCAGTGACCGAACTTACAATAAACTTCTTTCCATTGATAAACAAGTTGATGATACCATCAAGCAAACTAGTCTTAAAAAACATAACGGATCGACCTCTAATCTCTATACCACATTCTCGCAGGATGGGACGTATTTGATGCCTATTTCAGGCCGCAGATCTCCACCCCACTCCCTGAAAGCAAAACAAGCGGCTACGACGTGCAGCAGCCACCAACTTGCCCCGACTAAAAAGGCAACTAATACAGTCCAATCCATGTGGTCAAAAGAAAAGGACTTGTTCATAACATAATCAATCACCCTGACATCAAGCTTTGACATTTCCAAGTCCTATCAACAAGATTCACGTGAGATTAACATGGCTATTAATCAAAGTTCATCCCTCATGACAGATCCCTAAAAACAAACTTACCTGCAGAAGGTTGAGTCATGCAGCTGCTGCTTTGGTAGTAGTAGTAGTAACTAATGAGAAGGGACAGAAGCATTCACGGTATTGGAAAATGACCAAGAGGCAATATATAAAATGTAAGACTTTTGACTACCCTTATGATGGTTGATTGATGACACACATAAAAATTATCCCATTAATCAAACAGCAGCATTCCTTCTTCGGGACATATCACATTCAACAGAAAATAAGGCAACCAACCAAATGACATAGAGAGACAGAGAGAGACCCAGACCAACTGGAGAAGTAAGGCTTTTTTCTTCAAGGAGGGGGCATTCACTTTGTATGTCCCAGAAACCTCAACCCAGTTCCCACCATTACAAACTTCTATATATGCCCGGGATTGCCACCGGGCAATGGATATGTTCCTCCTCCATTAGCCTCCACCGCCACCTTCCTTCTTCATGGCTAGAAGTAGGTTCCCTCTGGAGGTTGTACAAGCTTCCGGTTGTGTGGGGCTGCCATCTCCTTCTTCAGCTGTGTCAGTATGTCTTCCATTGTGTACTCTCTTTGCCAATTCCCCAGCGGCCCAAACTTCTTCGGTTCCACCTGCCACCATTTCGGTAGTAAGCTAGTCATGTTGCAGATTAACACAGAGCCATGGATAGACCAAGGTTATATCTATTCTTGCTCCCAAAATTAAATAGCATCACGAGTATGTGAGTCAACAACTCGAATCATGAGACTAAGAGAATCAAAACAAATTGTCAATTTGAAGAATCGGAATCATACCACTCCAGTTTCATGATTCACACAAGTCATGTTGACTCGTGAATGGAAACGAACACTTGGTGGCTTCTCAGGGTAATCTTTGTCACAGAACAGCTTCAATTGATAAATCCGGCCTTCATGTACAGTCTGGGACAATGAAAGAAGAAATATTTTAGGCAATAAACGAAGGTTGTTAAAAATTGAAATGCAACATAACAACCAGTAGAACGTTTGCATGCAGTGAAGATCCTTGCATACAAAAGGAATTTACATTCTAAGTTTTTTCTGCCATGTATATTTGTAAGTGTATATCTATGCATTTAATCTCCACAAGGCTAGAATCCAATGAGGATCTGGTCCCAATCTTAGATCCTCGTCCTTTATTTAGAAATCCTTCTTGGAGGAAACGATCTTCACTTAAAAGAGAATGTATACGAACACAAACTTAATTTGTCATATCCATACAGTAAGTGCTCCACAACTAAAGAAAGAGGGACAATTCCACGAACTCCATGAAGCTTACAACTAGCAACTTTAACAAGCCTAACCAGACTCCTTAAGAAAACAAAAGGTGAACGAGCTATGGCATGCACAGTACCAAAACATCAGAATGGGCCAAGGCTAAAGATAAATCAAAATCGCAGCAGGCAAGGTTAAATAGAAACAACCAATCAAGTAGCGTGCAGAAGAAAGGAAACAAGAGAATCATAGCATCTAAGAAAAATATCAATCTCAAGTCCTACTGGGATCAAGAAGAAAGAAGAAAGAGAGTTTTTCAAAAGGTAATAGCAAAGATCCTACCCTAAACAGGCTGCATGACGACAGAAAGCATACCATTTCATCATGTTCATAGCTCTAACAAGCAAAAGAGTGAAATAATGCATTACATTGTGAGGACCAATTATCGTGCCGGTCCAAGAGCGCATGTAAATGTCATCTCCATCATCCATTCCATAGCTTACAGTGCCATCTCCAATTCCCTTCTCCCCACGTTCAAGCTCTTCCAGCAGTCTGAAGTTCCTAGGGACTGCAACCACCAGTCAAATGGCAGTCACAAACCACAGCAAACATTGGGAGTCAGAAACAAATAGGCATAAGATGCAAGAGAATAATATAAACAGAAAAGACTGGAGCAAAATGGTTAGCTTCCAAAGCGATAACATTTGCTACACTTTCACATGGGCCAAAGAAAAACTAGTACATGTAACAAAAGCTAATCCCTTTAGCATAAAGCTCCATGGCTATTGATGATAACATGCACCAAACTCTCAGTGTGATCATAGTCATTCAGCAATGAACATAACATTTTCAGTGAGATTTCCACCCAATTCAGAGTATAAGCAGATCAGACACAAACAAAACTTGTTTCTGAGGTGTATCATAGCATTATTACTCCTCTAAGAACAAGAAGAGTTGCTAAAGACCTCCACTACAGAGAACAAGACTTACAAAACAAGAGTAATGATCCCAAAAGCAAACAAAAGACCCGAAAACATAATCAGAAACAGCTTAAGGAGAGTCAATGACTGACATGCCGTTGAACTAAAAAAAGATTTCTTTTTCTCTTTTTGGCTGTAAGCTGTTCATCAGCTCACTTTCAGAAGATTGCCAGACGAAGTACAGGAATGGGAAATAAGGGGAAACCCACAAAAATTCATAATCGAAAAACCCCAGAAAAAATAAAATTCCCAAATCAACCGAAGGAAACAGACAAACGTAGGAACACAAAATTGCAAACCCGCGTCAGGCAAGCAATAAAAAGGCGTAAATAGATCGACCCATCAGCAGATACGAAGGGAAAAGCGAGGAAAGATTAGCAAAAAAATCACGAGAGAGGAGGGAAACAGAAGACGTTAAGGGACGAACCCACGACACTCGATCCTCCTGAGCCAAGCGTCATGGGTGAATCGAGAGTGTTGAAATTCGGGGGCAGCAGCGGCCGGCCGGGTGAGATCTGATCGACGTGAAAAACTGAGAACTGCAGCGGGCGAGGAGGAGGATGGAGGAGGTCAGAGATGAAAGAAAATCTAAGAAAGAAAGGGAAGGTTGAGACTTGTGAGAGGCCAAGTCGGGAATAAAGAAGAGGGCAATTTTGGGATATAGGTTTACAGAAACGAATATAATATTTATTTTATTTTATTACAAAGAAAAATAAAAGAGGAATTTATACTCTTGTGGGCTGTGGCCGGCGAAAAAAAATAAAAGATATGTTTGCAAATTGCAGTGATGATTGAAAATGGTATGGACGGCTAGGATTATTTTGTTTTCCAGAATAAAGTAATCGAACCGCTGCTGTGTACTGATGGGTCTCCCTTTGGTCTTTGTTATGACTTGTGTTGTGCCGCTTGTCGTAAAAAGTGCATTTTGATGACAGACACCGCCACACCGGGTCCAGCCGTTTAAGCCTTAAGGGTAGGAATGGCAATGGGGCAGGTCCGGGGCGTTTCTTGGTACCCAGACCCGCCTCGTGGCAGGGCGGATCCAGGTCGGGTAATTGATCACGGGTCGCGAGTCGGGGCAGGTCGACCCAATAGGTATGCAATTTATATGAAAAACATTAGAAATATTCGTTATTTTTATTATAAAACTAAGAAAACAAACAATATTATGACAATTGTAGTTAAATTATTGGAGAAATTGAGGTTTTCACTAATTTACAACTTTATTATAGCTAAAATATGATGCAATAAAAGGAAAATTCAAAGTAATTTGACTAAGATTTCATGTAATTTAGACAAGAACGGGTCGATAATGGGGCGGGTCAGGGCAGGTCGGGTCGATAAGACTACCCATGCCCGCCCCGCCCCGCCTACGGGGCGGGTCGGACCCGCCCCAAAACAGGTCAAACAGGTCGGGTAAAACGGGTCAGGTCGAAATTGCCATCCCTACTTAAGGGGGTGGCACGGTACGAGTACTAAATTTTTGGCCGGTTCGATATGAACACGAATACTTTATGTATCGAATTCGAATCGGATCTAAATTTTATAGATACGTGAATGTTATGGTCTATAAGTGAATAATATTTGTTGGAAGTGATTAATACATAAGTCCAAGTCCACTTAACATGGCATTGGTGAGAGAGTGAGTCCAAGAAGAACAAAGCACATCATACTTATTTTGGATTGGGCAAGGAGAGAAACCCTATTTTGGAGGCGCACGACGACAAAATAGTTGTCCGCCAAATTAGTACGGGTACTGACAATCTAGTGTATGCGCCTCTCTAAGATGTGTGATTAAGAGTGTTGGTCAAGGCACTTGCCGGTTTAAGGAAACAATTGGAAACGCTGTTCAAAATCATGCAAAAAGAAGGGGGGTCGTTGAGGGAGTTTTGTGAGAGGTGGGTTCTAGTGGCTATTACAGTAAAAGACGTTCAGCCTCCCGTGTTGGGTTGTTGTTTGGAAGAGTGAACCACGAGTGAGGAGCTCTAAAGGACACTCTCCAAAAGAGATGTTAAGTCGAGTGATGATTTGGTTAAGAGAGCACAAAAGGTCATAGTGTTGGAGCAAAAGCTGGCTTCAAGGAGGGTCCATAGCAAAAAAATAAACTAGATGAAGGGGAGTCGCCGAGGACAATGCGCCCCGAAACTGGTTTGTGTCAACTTCCAATAAGGTGCCTAGAGGCACAGAAACCCATGAGTCATGGAGCTCAAACTTTCACTAAACTCAATGATGCGCTAAAAAATGTCATTGCTTATGTGAAGGATAAGGGATACCGCATAAGGTGGCCTATACCGATGCACGAACAGTCTAACAAGCGCAACATTCATAGGTATTGTGTGTTTCACAGAGAAAAAAGACACCACACGACTGACTACTATCAATTGAAATCTGAGATTCAAGGCCTAGTAGAAAGAGGAATGTTAAACGAGATCGTGAAAAGGAATGAAGATAAAGTGCATCACGAGTACGCTATCCAAGAGGGCCACCCAATGGGTGTATTAGACCAAGTGAACCTCCCCCTCCACATTCCGCCATTAATCAGGCTCGCAGGCCAGGGTGCACCCGACTACCGTAGAGGTTATCACCGGAATGCAGGATTTGAGAAGGAGATTGGAAGAAGTGCAGACTTAAGAATGCACTGTCTGGGGTGAGGGAAGCCATGCAAATCAGTTTTAATAGAGTTCCCAAAGAGGCATGTAGACTTTCTTCTACAGAGGCGCTTTTAGATACAAGGCTTGGTCACACGGTGTCTAGTTAAATGGATGTTAGTTGATATAAAAGCTCAATGAACGTCCTTTTTCGAAACACGTTTTATAGGATGCAGGTGGCGCCTGAACTTATTGAACCATCTAACTCGGTCTTGATAGGGTTCTCAGGGGCACTATCCCGAGTGATGGGGCGCATACGCGTCTGTGACACTCGGAGATGATGAACATAGAGTTACGTAATTCGTGAAATTTGGGATCGTGGAAGAATCACTCATAATCATTGTTGTGATTAGCGACGGCGCAGATGCCCGTTGCGGCCAAACAAAACCTGAAAGTTTATAAATAATGCTTAACCACTTTTCTCGCTCTTTCCTCTCTAGACTTTCTCTCTCTTCTTTGTCAAGTAGCTCAAAAAATCAAATCGTGTATAATACCATGATATATATTTCATTGTAAATTTCATTTTGTAGAGTACATTTATTTGGATTTTTATGAAAAAAATGAGAAATCAAAGGACAACCTTTTTTCATATTATAGCATACCAACAATGTAACGATTTTCAGTACTACTATAAATATGTGTACTAATGCACTCATATATTTATATATTAAACAATTAAAAAAATTGTGTGTACTGCATTAGTTGTTGATAATATTATAAAGTAAAAATGTCAACTTGCTACGTAAAATACATTATTACTGTCACGTATTTATGTGACATGTTTGTACACCAAAAATTTACTAAAATGCACCTGCATAGTTTAGTCATGTTTCACCATAATACACGATAATTTCTACACTATACAAAATTACTATGAAAAAATTTGTAGAGTATATTTATTTGATATTCTTATGAAAAATATTAAATTCGAGTTGAAACGAATAACATATAGTCCGTTAAAATTAATGTGGGAGTGAATATGCATTTGTTTTTAATTTTAGAGTTATGCACCTAAAATGTTCCACACAAGTTTCACATCAATTATTTTTTGTTCTTCAAAAAATTGAAGTCATTCATTTACCTTTTTCACATTTCAACTTTGCTCAAGTCAGCACAATTCGCAAAATTCTCTTGACTTTTCCACCTTTTTTTCTCCCACAAACGTAACTGACTTTTTGCAGACATTTGTATGCATGCTCAACTCAAGCCTCTAACATTCATAAATACGTTAAAATTACATCACTCTCCGCATTTTGCTTCTGTTTCATTGTTGGTCCGTAAATATTCATTTTGGCTTCACTCAAGCCACCTTTGTTTCTATTTCCTTCACCATTCCTATTTAGGTTTACACAATCTCTCATCTCCAATTAAATTTAAATAGTAAATCTTTATTTTATAATAAAAAAATATCAATTACTCTATGCTAGCCATCAACTAATTCATATAAGTAGTTTGTTAGAATGTCTATGAGAGAACTCAATTGCATGATGCAAAGATAAAAATTAATTATTTGTATTTCTAATGATGATGAATAGTAAACTATAATAAGGAACATTATAGTTGTCACCACTACTATTTTCTTTGGATCGTTAGTTATTGGATTAACATTGCATGGTAATTAGGGTTGGTAAACGGTCGGTAATCTGTTAAACCGATTACTGGTATATCGGTTATCACCACACTCCCAATGTTTGCCGATACCGAATAAGATTCGTTAAACCGATTACCGAATGGTACGGTTACCGGTTGTGAGTCGGTTTCCCGTTTACCGCAAAGAGGCGAGAGGCAATGACAATGTTGCGGCCTGAGGACGGTGATTCGTGAAAGGAAGGGCCGGTTGGTCTGCTTCACACCAATTCACCGATTGATTTTCTGAATACATTATTCCACAACATCACAAACATAAACAAGACCAGGATCATTCTATCTAAAATTCATTATTCACAATTAGACTTTCAATTCAAAAATTGCGATGATGATCGATGAATAGAATAGTTGCTTCGGAAAGGGAAGAAGCCCTCTCCTCCTAACATGCAAATCCCAAAAAAAATTCCAATGAATAAAACAGCTGTTTCGGAAAGGAAACAAATCCTCCCCTCGTGCAACCCCATCACGAAAAAAGTGGAGAAGTACGATGAAATCCAGCCAACATTTACAATCGCAGATCGAGTTGGTGTTGTTGCTGCTCTACGATGGGGGTTTTGACCAGCGGCGCCCCTCTCTGGTTGGGTGGGCCATCTTCATTTTTCCTCTGGGGGCAAATATGGAATCGAGAAGGAGAGAACCATCAAGCGAGGAGACTGCATGGCATCGGATCTGGATATTTCGTGACCCAGGTCGAAGATGAAGAAGAAGGGACCGCCGCCGCATATCGCGTCAGATCTAGAGATAATTCCCTCACTGCCGCCAGACCCATAAGAGATTATGACGATGATACAACCATATTTTTTCAATCGCCTCCGTCAAACCCCTCGACTGTACTTCTCGTTGCCCCACTGCATAACTAGGGAAGAAGAATTCGCAAGACCCCGATAAAGGCGGGGGAAATTAAGGATGGGGAGGAGAAAAGAGAAGAGAAGTAGAGAAGCGAAGGAAGGCGATGACTGGTGTGAAGAGAGAAGAGGAGAGAAGAAAGGGTTTGCGAATTGAGACATCAGGGGAAGGGCTCTCCTTGTCTATCTATACTATATATAAAGCATATTCATGGGTTGAATTTTCTCCATTTCAAATTTTGAGCAACCAGAGTGAAAGTAGGAAGGATATTTTTGTCTTCACAATTAGTTATTTATTTTTTATAAAAATATATCAACACCAAGATTTGTATAATTTGATGATGCGGAAATACGAAAGAACACAGAACACAATATTTTGCGTGGTATCCTCGATCGATTGATTGATCGAGACTAATCCACAGTGAGCTCGGAACGAGCTTGAACCATGATCTGCTTTCAAGAACGGGCGGTACGTGGTACAGAGCAAACTCGGTTGGGGCCATTTCTCCACTGTTT